CCATATCCGCAAGCGGATTTGGACCGAGGGGGTCCAAATCCGCTGTGACACCGGCATGTCGTGCATTGTACATGTGAACTTAATGATGGGTAGAAAAAATAGTATAAAAAGTATTTAAAAGGAAGTTATTATGATAAGAATGCATGAAATAAGCAATAAGGAAAGAGTTATTGTTGAAAATATCGAGGATATTTCGAGTGTAAAACTAGGGCGCGGTATGAACATCATTGATCTTATATTGCCTTGTGTTGTTTGTTTGTTTGTTTTTTTCGTCGGAGAAGCTTCTTGTCGAGTAAAGTAAACAGAATAGGAGAGGTGAGCACACTGCCAGGTTTGTCAAGGTCTATTTGAGGTTCAGGAAAAAAATCCAGGAAGTACTTGCAAGTCCTAACCCTGAGTTTAGTTGTGCAATTCTGGTCAGCGTACTTTTTTTGTAACCGCTCAGGACCGGAATTCTCTGATTAGGGGAAAGATCTAGGAAACAGTCATTTCAGGACAATTTTATTTCATCAAAGCTCGCCAACAACCTACCTTTATATACTTTGGGTTAGTATTTTATAAAAGATACAATACGATCATCTTATTCCCATAGAAGACATCAATATGACATCAAATTTTGATGTTACTTATATTTCCTCTAAAAGCATGGTCCTTGGAGACCCAGGGGGTGTGAAGAGTACCTGTACGAGTACGTCATGTGTTTGGGGTCACAGGTTTCTTTTCGGAATTTACTTTAGTTCGTACAATCGGTCTTCACCTTAAACTTTCAAATTTTTATCTTAAAACTTCCTTTGAAAGTGCACACCAATCATCGTTGGACAAAGGAATAAAACTATTCGAGTTCAATTGCAAATCCACCACTATTGTGTATCACTTCGATTGTTTACGATCTCATGTGAAACACGAGCCGTGGGAAAGGTTAAAGGTCATTAGCGGCTGTATCCATCCGGTCCTCGCAACCTTGAAGTGTAGCGGACGAGAATACTCGTGTGCTTCTCAAAGAACGTAAATGCGTTAACAATCTTTCTTCCCTCTCAACTCAACAGTAACTCTGGTATGCTGCAGCATTAAACTGTATGGCTCGATTTGTCCTCAATGCTGCGCGCAGTGGATCTACAAATTGGGCATTTTGTTTCAGTTAATCCTCGTCTTTTTTTTGTCTGAATTTTTCATGCAATGAAGTGTTTACATACGGAATGATAAGGCTGTTTTGATCGTTTGGACTAGCAGAAGATCCTGGTAAGTTATCCGGGTTAGTCGATACGACTGGATTTTGACCAGATTGCATAACTTTCTAGTGTCGGTAAGTTATATCAAGCGGAATCAATGGGACCCGCATACAGTTAAACGCATACAGCGACGTGAGGCCTGCGCAGAAGGCGAAAACAAATTTTTTGAAGGTCAAGCTCATAGGATGTAACTGAAGTCAGAGTTTGAATTGTTTAGTGCGGAAATTTCAAGTGGGTAATTGGTCTCTTTGACTTTTCGGCTTTGACATTTTTCCAAATTAGATCCGCCCTACCGTAAGAACTGTGCTGAACTCTACAAATTTTGGTAAAACAGTAAGCAGTGTTTATTCAATCGACCCTGATATTTCGGGTACCTATGATATATATTGCGACCAGAAAACGGTTAGTGGGGGCTGGACAGTGCTCCAGAAGAGACTGGATGGCTCCGTTGCTTCCTACCACAGGTGGAAGGCGTACGAAAATGGCCTTGGTAACCAGAAAGGCGAGAAAAGATAAACCGCCTGACAAGTAATGACAGCTATAAGCTGCGTGTTGATCTGGAAGACACCAAAGGAAACACAGCATATGCAGAATGTGATGTGTCCGCTGTCCCAGAGGAGAGAACCGGGTACCAGCTTTTCCATGAGCCTGAGACGGAAATATATTTTTTTATGCACTGGGCTAATTCTACACGCATTGATTGTGTTCAGCAATAGACAACAGGCGTCGTCAAGATAAACGAGAACATTACAGACATATTCGGCTGCGCCTCATGTTTTGGATGCTTTCTGTGATCTATTACTGTACAGATGCACGAGAAAAATGCAATTTGTGTGCTCTAGTTGTTAAATAATGATAACATTACGAAAATGACGACATTACGATACAAAATACCGAGAGGACATTAGCTTATAAACGGGTTACTCTCTTTGAGAGAAAGGTATAATCACTGATTGTTTTTCCCAAGAACTCAGCATCGAGGCAAATCCTTTTCGACCCCAGAAAGAGACATTGATCGGTATTGCCCCAACAATTGTGCTGTAATGTACAAAGGAACGAGGTAGTTCGATATCTGTCGTGACGCCCACTTGCATGGTCTGTATCATCACGTTAAACACTCATCTTATTACTACAGATTATCATAAAATGTTTTTTTTCGGTCATAGGGAACTTCCTGGTTTTTTTTTATAACCCTTTCAAGCGTGGAAACTTAAAAGCTTGTCATTATGTTGTTATATTATTCAACCAATAAATGGTATGGATATAACGACTATTGGTGTGTCTCGATATTCAGTCTTCCGGAAGTTTTTCGTGTACTGTGTTGATGCCTTGCATTTATATATTTAATCATCTTTATCAAAATCTTGTGTACGAAGGTGTTTTTGATTTTATGAGTAATGCAAATGCAAATGATATTATTATTGCAAAACAACATGTCGTAAGTAGTACATATGAAAGACGAATCTATGCGGTTGTCATCTTTTCAGCCTTGAAGTCTGAAAAGGGCGGGGTTTTCAGGGGTATAAGAACAAGTAAAAAAATTACCATACCGGCCAGTTCACTGTGGCAAAGAAGAGACAGCGATTTGGAGAGGAAAACAAAAACGTTTTCACTTTTTGCACGTAAAGGTTGTTAATATGAAATTTGTGATGAGAATTTTTGCACAAATAGACAAAGAATTTAAATGAATTAATTAATCAAAAAAGAAAAATGGATGAATACTTTGATATCAACAGCATATGCCAACGATTATGATATTTCTTTATCACAGTGCTTGTAATTGTCATTATTTCGATCACTGTGGTATTTTCATTGAATAAAATAAATAAAAGATATCACAGTAATAATGATAACGACGCACGGCGGTTTACGGCTACAGAAAATATTACAAATTAATTCTAAACGGTCAGTTTTTCTTCGGGCGACAGTCATTTAACTGGTGGTTTCACTGGAAAGGCTAGTCCAAACAAGGATCTGGGAAGAAAACTGGGATCAGGTGAGCAAAATTTAGAGCGATTAAAGGTGTGCCTTGATGCGAAGCTCACTCATGAACCCAACTTTATAATGCTTCAGCGAGGATAACGAATGTAACGAACTTATGGCAACAATTTAGCCCATATATCCTTCTCAAAATTTGCCGACACTTGGTTTTTAATACCAAATGTCGTAAGGTTTATTCATAACAATAAGGAAGGAAAGAATTTGCCCACAAGAAAACCTCTCTGCTATGATGCAACGCTGTGTTAATAGAGTAAAACCTCTGTACAATTCTCTGAAAGACTATATTTTGTGCCATATTTCTTAGCTAAAACAATCATTGTGGTAAATGATCAAATAGTTTTCTCTAAAGAAGCATTGGGGTCTATTATGTTAGATATCTGCAAGGGACTTCGGCGTTGGTACATGTTTGACCAGCTTAGCAAGACTGAAAGACGTGCAAGAGTCGAGAGAGGACAGACCAGAACAGGACGAGCAAACTTTTAAATCTTTCTTGCTACAATCATTTTAATCCCTACAGTTTGCAATTTCTTTAATTTAGCGAATAGATACGAAAACAGGCGTTGGCCAGACATTTTGCATGCATAGGATAAGGAAGTTCTTGTTGGCAAGGTTATCGTTGCTGAAAATTTTTCAGATATGAAAACTAAACAAAAAGCTAGACTGAATTGCTCTGTTTTTCCGGATGGCCTGACCAAATAACTGTCGCTAGTCGAGTTTTTGTTTTCGTTCATAGGGACACTTTGCAATTAGTGAGACGTTTGAAAGACCAATATTTACCATAGCATTAAAGCTGTTCAAAAGCTGCTGGATCAACATGATCGCCTATCGTTTTATTCTTGTTCTTGCACTAAGCAGACTAGAAGAAATGAATTCCTGGTGGCTTATTTTATTATTTTCTGCACTGAAAGCTCAGGCGGGGTTGCATCGACCCGAAGGTATCGTAAAGATATTATTCGATACAAAGGCTGCGTGGATGATCTTGCCTTATTTAGGAAAGATTACCAAATAATCATGTGAATTCTAAAAAAAGATCTCAAGCCTGTATTAGTGGAATGCAAACTGTAAAGATGAAAAAAGAAATTTGTTTTCTTTTTGCGTTTCATTAGCCAGAAATGTTCGTGCCTACTCTTCCATCAATAAGTCAAAAGGATATATTTCGAATGAAAAATGAACATATGGATTTCTATAAATGAAGATATGCAAGCTGGCAAAGCGGACTTCACATTCAGAGAGATAATCGAAGACTTTTTGTCAGAAAACTTCTTCACGAAAACAATTTTCAGTCACCATGTATCTCAATGTCGAGTCTCTTATTCGCTTTCTTTTCACATTAAATCACCCGAACGTTCGTCTCTCAGCTGTAAAAACTTGATAATTGGAGGAGTAGACGTAAAAAGAAAAGATTGGATCATTTACACTTGAAATCTAGCGATAAAGAGCGTTCTTCATGTCGAAATGCTTATGTAATCGATGAAAAATCGTTTTTTACAGAAAATATTGGTGTGAAGGATAAACGTCTGTTTGAGGGTGACATGATCCTCACAGACGCTCAAAGGATGGCGGCCGCTCTCGGAGAAGATGTCAGCAAAGCAGGGCTGGGACGTGCATCCATCAGAAAGAACCTATGGCCCGGGGCGGTTCTTGTGTATGAGTTGGATTCTGCAATAAGTAGGTAGCGATGCCTTATTAATTTGCTTTTCATCGTCAGAAAAGTAAGTGTTTTATCGTGATGTAGACCTAGAAAAAAACCAGCATTTACTTAACATCGAGTTTTCAAGGTCCATAACATGAGTTTTAACAACTGCGCAGAAAATATATATTATTTTGAATAGGAAGGGACTAGAGACAATGACTCCAATATCTATAACTGTAATTTAGTTATCTCGTGTTTTCCTGTTCAGCAAGGCCAAGGTAAATTTGGAGCGAAACCTTAAACCTGTTCGGCTGTTTTGCAAAAGATTCGACTAGAAGATGGAGAAAACTTTGGAAAGATGTGGAAAAACCAAACATTTCTATAAAAGGGAAATAAAATTAAAAGCTACATGTGTCTTCAATAAAGCGTTTTGGGTGATAAGGGAACCATTGGGTAAGCACGCTGGTTTTCAAAGGGCCTGGGTTCATATCTCACCTGGAGTATCTGTGCTGAGTTTCTTGGTGATGCACTCCTCTCTCCATGTAGGAGTGTATTGGCACTTGTTAAGTGGAAGAAATACTGATGCAATGTTGATGGGTGATTGACCGAGTGTCCTAGCTGGGAGAAATAACAATTTCTGTATGGGACTTGTCTGCAGTGCATGGCTTCTAATTAAGGAGAGTTAATGGAAACTCGCGATCGCTAGCGCTTATTCGACCAGCCTTGATTGATTTGGAGTTAGAGTGGATGCGAGTGGTGGGTGGAAAGGGCGGGGAAAGTCGAAAAGACGCCTGCCGAAGAGGCTGTTTCAAAAAAAGCGAACCACCCTCTCATTAGTTACGCGTCACTACATTTCCGGAAAATGAACCAGTAACCAACCAAAAATGAGTTCATTTAAAAACCGGAAGCACTGTCTACGGAGAGCCAATAGGGACTTTAAGCAATAAGAACGGGGACGGCGACGGGGACTCCAAAACCCGCAAAAAGACTGGGGAGAGAACGCCGTTGTGGCGGGAATTTCTAAACAGTTAAGCAGCCGTTACAAAATGCCGCTTATGATGTCTTTGAAAGAAGTCCGAAATCAACTTTTGATTGGCCACGATGATGGTGTGATAAACGATGGGGAACTTCTACTCCTGTACGATTTAAACAGGTCCGATAATGTTGATCTTCCGTACAACTCTTACCCTGGTTTTGACTTCGATGATTTGGAAGACGACGAGTGCCTTTCAGAGTTTCGCTTCTACAAGAACGACTTACCATTTCTGACTGAAGTATTGGAGATTCCTGAGGTAGTGGAGTTCTATCAAAGAAGTATCTGTAGCGGATTGGAGGCTCTTTGCATTTTTCTAAAGAGACATAGCTATCCTTGTCAATATTCAGACATGATAGCTTGCTTTGGGAAGCCTGTTCCAGTGTTATGCATTATAAACAACTACATGATCGACTACATCTACCAGGCACCCAGTCACAGAATTTTGCAATGGAATGATAGCATCCTACAAAGTAAATTGAAAGAAAATATTCTCGGTAGATGTTTGTCGACTGGCGCGACAAAATTCTTCAAAATTGTGCTGGCAGATAAAAAAGCCAAAACGGCTACATAAGTTGTAGTGCTGTCTGCCCTTTTAAATCTGGTAAGAATATCTTCTTTGTCAAACTGTTTGACTCTTGAGTGGTTCTCAGCGGCGAATTTTCGATTGGTATCAGTGTGAGCTAAGATTATTTACATTACATTTCTTACTCACATTTTCGTCAAATGGTGTCGATCTCGATTAGCGTCTCGACGTTTCTGTTCAAAAACAAACCATCAAATTAAGGAATAATCTCACTTTATGAAAGAAAAAAGCGATGAAAGTTATTTTAAATTGTCTCCCGGGAGTATTTAACATTTAGATAGCAGAGAAGGCGAAAAAGAATACTCACGTTGTCAGCCAACGTCAAAGTGACTCGTTTCACATCGGGGCCGAACGCAGAACGTCAAACTTTTTCCCACCAGTCATGCGCAGATGATTATTTGGATTTTTCCTGAGAGCCCGCGGTCCCCGTCGCCGTCCCCGTTCTCGTTGCTTAAAGTCCCCAATGAGTGAAACTGAATGCAGTTTTTTTCAGCCAGGAAAGAAATGGAATAAAAAACCTCTTCTGCGATCACAAGTATGAGCTGACATTTGCTTCTTTCTATATTTTCCAAACCACAATCTTTCAGTGTAGCTGGTGTTAATCTGTCTGACAATGTTTCTTCCACTTTTTACGTAAACGATACTTTGAAGCGCACAAACAAAGGCACTCGAAGGGTTATCCGACATTCTTTGTTTGTTGCGATCCCGCATCTGAAACATCAAGGTTTTCCTTAATTATGTTCCGATAAACACTTGAGAGATTCTTCTAGTCCGTCTATAGCCGCTTCATGCCCGCGTGGGTTAAGCTTCTTCGAGAGCGAAATCGAAATTGACAATTTCGTCTTTGACAAAGGTCACTATCTTTTATATTTCCTGCAAGAGTGGTATGAAGCAGTTTGGTTTGTAATTGAGATGGTAGAACAAAACCATACCAATCGGAAACTCCCCCCACTGCTCCCCTCTCCTTCTTTTTGATCTTTACTCATCCCCTTGGTACAAATTTCTTTCTCTCCCCAGCTCTCCGCTGCTGTAAAAATCAAAGATGGCAGCTATAACTTTTACCAAGATAGTGTTAAGCACTCGCCCGCAAAAATTACGCTTGCTCTGCAGGCTAGTTTGGGACATCCAGGAAAGTTCAGTCAGCATGGCCAACTTGATTTGCACAGCATTTTTTGCCTCGTAACAGATAGAGAACTGATGTTTGATTTACTGTATCTACAGAGAGAAGTTCTACAGCTATGGCAGCAATAAATGCTGCCATGAATTTATGGCGTACGAAGACTTGTGTGCAGTTTAAGAAAAAGACGACAGAAAGCGCATATGCCTATTTTCACATCGGTCAAGGGTGAGAATAAAGGCTAATTTTACATGAAACTATGTTAACCCCATCAAAATTTTCTCCCATAAGGTTCTATGACCTTTATATCTCAGAAAGAAGAAGAGCTCGTTTGAAAGAGAAAAATTGTTGACGTTTTCTTTCCACTGACCGGGTGGGACTAGCAGAGATCAGAAAAATAGTTATCAAATAAATGTTTATCGTCACCGCCAAATGCGCAAAATTATGTTCTCGAGAACATTCGTTATTGTTGTTCGACTGAATCCCTTTGATAACCATCTGCAGAAATCATCTAATTATTAGGTATTTTGCTCATTTTCTTTTATTTACGATGATACTTTAAAATAGTTTTCAGAACTTCCTTGTCAAATAATTAGCTGTATCAACTGAAACATCTCGAAGCTCCACCATGGAATATTCTCGAAAAATGTCTTGCTTTTGGGTGTAATTCTTTTCCTCAGATGTACCTCGTACGTGGGACGAACAGGGAGACGACAGATGATATCGCTCGCTAGGGGATGCTGGTACACACATACTGTGGCACACGAGATCGGTACGCTGAACATGTCAACTCAAACTTCCTTTTGTCGGGAGAACATTAACGCGTAGATCTTTTGCGTAAGGTTATCCTTCTTGATGCTTCACAAGAAAAAAACAATGTTTAAAACTTTTCATAACTTCTGGATGACTTCATGTTATCCTTAGCAAAAAGGCAGTAGGAAGGAACAAGAGCGTTTAATGTTGCATAGCTGTAAACTAAGCATGGAAAGTTACTACTCAGCCTCAATAAAATGTTTGGGGTAAATAGAGTCCGTTTGAGTGTAAACTTTCTTTCTCATAAAGAGCAGCTCAGAAATTAAGCACTTGAGTTGACAATGACAAGTGAAACGACTTTAAACCATATTGGATTTCTAAGAGTGATTGCAGTGACTAAATTCGAAGCAAATGCCTCTGAAAGGTGACACACGATTTGCCGCGCAGTGTGTCCTGACAATAGTGAACCATATTTACCATTTTCCCCCTTCTCCTGTAGGTCATGCGTTGGGATTCTATCATGAACAGTCCCGCCCTGATCGCGACGATTTTGTCACGATTAACTGGCAAAACATACAAAATGGAAAGTATCATTTATTGTCTAACTTAATTCAACGTACGCCTTAAAATATACTGCAAATAATTTTTAGGGGATAAATTGGTTACTAAAGATAACATTTTTCTTTCCACGCATTTCTTTTATTAGGGCTTGCCTATGCTTTTAATAAGTATCCCCGCTCCACGATTGATTCCCTGGGCACCCAATACGACTACAGGAGTGTGATGCATTATGAAAGCTACGCGTTCAGTAGAAACCGGAGACCAACTATTGTGGCAAAAAAACAAGGAGTAAGGATAATTAAAGTGATATTTATTCTTCCTAAGAAGCTCTGTTCAGTGCTTAATCTCAATGATTTTACTCCGGCAACTAACTGGAACTGCTACCTCGTCTTTCCGTAGGTTACTTTAAGTAACAGGAATGGTCCAACAGAAATAGATGTAAAACAGATGAACCTTCTGTACAAATGCAGTGGAGGTGGCGGTGGCGGTGGCGGTGACGGTGGCGGAGGGGGCGGTGGCGATGGTGGCGGTGGAGGGGGAGGGGTCGGTACGTTATGCACTGCATCCTTAGAGATCTTATCGTATTCCTAATGAACTTACTCGGCATAAATTTTAATTCAACAGCAGAAATAAAATTTAATTTGGCTCACTTCTCCTTAAGGCCATCCATCAGAACATGGGGAAAACGTTTTTAATAGTCAAAGTTGGTATCTTAGTCGGTACAGTGTACAAAAGCCTCAAAAAATGACGTGAAAAGTTCAGGTTGTGCTTTTTGCGTGTGTCACAAATGTTATGTTTGAACTCTCAACATGCTTAAGTTATAAAGTAAAATATATGTATCAGCTATCGATTGGAGTCACTGATACTAATTGTACTACAAGGTGTCAAATACTGAAAAAAAATTTCTCGGTGCTGGTGATGAATAATATTGGCAAATTGTGTTGTCTTCGATAATAAATAGAAATCCAAATTCAGCAAATGTGCAATGACCAATGATCTAATCTCATGCTGCCTTTAAGCCAAAAACACCTTGCCGGCTGTAAAATTTTGTCATCATATCTTCAGATTATTATCAGCAAGATGCAGTCCGCCGCCTTTCCTCCAGAAGGGGAATATGTAACGTTTTGGATAAACATAAAATGCAGGGATAGTCTAGACGTTTTTAAAATTGTGTTTGTTTACTTTTTAGATTGCAAGGATAAGAACAGTAACTGCTCTCGCTGGAAGAGTGAAGGATACTGTCGTCACAGTTACGTGAAATACATGGCGAAAAATTGTCCAAAGAGCTGCAACAAATGCTGATGTAAGGTAAATTGATGAAAAACCTTTCACACCCATAGAAATTCCGCAATAACTCTCAACACACAACGTTCGATTACTGTTGGGACAATGTTAGTAAATATATGGAGACTATATATGAAGGGATTAACTTAAAAAAAAAAAAGACATATATATATATATACTGAAAAGGTTACGCTCATTTTTAGTTTTTTTTCCCCGACTTTTTTAGCTTTCAAAGCCGTGAGGTTGTAGTGAGACAACCATATCTTCAGCTTAATAATTATTCCTTTTTTTTCTTTTATTCGTAGAAATAGGAATGGGATAGAAAACGAACAAATGATTCGATGGTTAGAATATGAACGTTTCAAAGATGAAACTTCTTTCTTACAGGTTATCAAGTCTCATCTAATCTATTTGATGCAGGACCTAACAAGTCTCTTGACTTGTTTCAACTCAGAAGATTAATCTGATTAAAGAAAAATTCTCACGAATGTGTTGGACTGTCTTTTATTTAAGAGTACCCACAGATTATTATTTTAGCCACCAAATCTACAGTGGTCAGGGTGCTGTTCATCACGCAAACTTCCCTCAGTCGCTCAAACATAAATTGGTAATTGTTCTCCATGGAATAGTTTTAGCGTTCGTACACTAATTCAACATCTTGTGTACAGTGTCTGTTGGTCTTAAAAGCTCACACGTAACTGACCAGAGCCTTTGATAACGTTATTGAAAGTAGCATTATTGACTTCTGAACGGAGAAGCTTTAAGTTTCCAGAATTAAACCGATGGCTTGTTGTAAGTTTGAAGATTTTCAGACTTGTATTTGATCTACATCGTTATCTTTTCTTGTTTTTATACGAACGTTTTTGGAAGTTATGAATAAATTCAAATTTTTTGTAAAAAGGCGACCTTGCAACTGGATAAATAATTTCAACCAGTGACCAGGAATAATTCTCTCTTCTGGTTGTTATTTTTAAGTAGACAATAAATTAGAATTTAAATTTTTAAGACCACAAAACATTTTGTGCGATTATCGAAAAGGTTGTTTTTAATGAAAGTTAACGTAAGTAAATTTTCGAGCTACATTTCATGCCTTAATTTGTTCACCTGTTTAATGGCAAAAATCAGGCCGCATCATGTTTACGAAAGTGTTAGGTTTTATCTCTATCACAAATATGATTCTAAATATCACACATAGGAAGCTGGGGTGAACATACTGTGGAAAGATGATTGGTTGAGAAAAGCACAAAGAAAAAAAGGAACACACGACTATATCTTTTTTAAGTACAATCATACAAAATTTAAATAATTCCAAAGAAGGGTGATCGTACATCGCCTATAAGTAAATACAAAGAATGCTATTTGTGTCTCTTTATCCAATCACCTGACAGCTTTGTTATGAAAAGCTGGCAAAGGAAAAAGATCATTTTTTTTAGGCTGTTGATAATGATACCTTTCTTACTCTTGTTATTAGCAACAAAGAAAATGGCGAATAGGTTTCTAGTAAACTTCTCATTTGGAATACTAATTCTTTTAGCTGGTATGTTGACTCCATTCTGTGTGATTAGCAATATATAGTTGCACTTCTATTTTAAATTATAGCTTGATATCATGATATGTTTATATCATGCATGAGAATTGGAGAAGACAATTTTCCACTAAGTCTTCATCACCGTTGGGATTTGATCCAACTTCAGAAATTCGGCATATTTTCCAATATTTGATAGACTTATTTCTTGTTATTAATGGAAACAGCTTCTTAAAATCTGAGTCCTGCAGGAGCTCGTAAATGTTTAGAAACCATAATTCTTTGCTTTATTGCTTAACCATACAATTGGCTGACAGACATTAAATGCTACATGTACAATATCTGCAGTTTTAGTCAAACTCCCGTGCATGAAAGCCATTCAGCTGTTTGAGGGTGATATGATAATCACCACTGCACAGCAACAAGCCGCCCAGCAAGGACAAGATCTTATTTCGGCAGCAGCTGTTCGAGGAGCCTCAAAACAGTATCTTTGGCCTGGAGGGATCGTGCATTATTCAATCGAACAGCAGCTAAGTAATTTATTGAATGTATCAATCCTTAAACTTTTTCGTCAATTAACAACACGCTTGCAGCTTTAAAAATCCCTAGAAATAAAAACTTAGTTTCAGTCAGACATCGTAGAAAAAGTTAGAATAAACATATCTCCTCCCTTCGCAACGTAAGAAGAAATGAAAGGACGCATCAAAATTTAATCCCCCTAATCATTCTAGTCGGCAATCGGCAGTTTGCTACCTTTCCCTACAATTAGGTAGTTCGGAAGGCGCAACCCTAGATCAAAAACTTATTTTTCAAATCGGCACTCTTAATCCCCACTTAGCGTAGCTTTATTTTCTGCATATAAACACACACAAAACCCACAATTCCTCCATTCGCTCTGACGAAGAGCTAACGGTCGAAACGTCAGCTTTGAAACTCTTCACGGTGGCCAATTTACGTTATCAGCTCAGGTGTTTTTCTCTTTTTAGTGCTACTTCCACGACTAACATCTATCTTTGATTATTGCATGCGTGTTTACAAGAGACAAATCACACCCCTGTCGGTGAGGAGGAATAATAATTGATTGACACCAACGCATTTGACGAAAACCAATGGCATGGACTCTGAATTATGCCTATAACACACTTTTTCTTTCCCATCTTGGTATTTAGTGGTACATGGAAAAAATTGTTGCGTGACCAAATAACTATTGTTGCTATTTTACCAAATTTATCAGAAGACGATCCTTTATCCCTGGAGGCGATCGTAAAAGGGATGAAACAGTGGAGTAGAGCAACGTGTATCACATTTAAAGAAAGGACGGACGAGAAGGCCTTCATTTACTTTTTCATCGGAGGAAGGTGCTCGCAAAACATTTTTTGTGCGTACTATGGTGTCTCCGTCTTTTTTTGTGTAGCGAACAATTTTTGTGGGTGGTAACATTTTCATAAGTTGCTAAACTGACGGGTTAACTCACAACAGGTGGCATGGATGATTAATATCTGTGCTTGTAGTTTTCAACGAGGTTTTCCGCTGATCCGATTTTGGGATGAAAAGAGTCGTTTTCGCATTTAGATAACTCAGGCTAAAGTTGTGATATAGCCCAACTACACTCCAAAGTCATTCTTGGTACTCGAGAAAAGCGAAAAAACTTTGATGTTCATTGTCACAGAGGGTATGTTGAACAGAATTGAAATAGTTTTACGGAAAACCCTGGACCCAAAACGATTCTAAATTTTCAAGGTACAAATCTTGCCTAAAGTATGATCCTGTTTGCTCAACCTGTTTTCCGTAGGAAATGTAAGCAACAGAAATATCCTTCACTTAAAGAAGCCCTGTAATATCCCGAGAAAGGTTTTCAACCTGTGTAATTTATAGTGTAGGGTCTTAATTTATGAAGAGTCATATTTGAAATATTGATTTTTGTGTAGAATTTGGCCTGCGAAAGCGATAAAGCCTCCTTGGCCAGAATGTCCACAGTATATCTATAATTATATAAATATTATTATATATGAATAAAGGAATATTTCTGTCTTCATAAATTCAGCTGCTCTTCGGAAGTTGGTAGAACAGGAGATAAGCAGTATATTTCCCTGGCTCCACATTGCTGGACGGCTGGAGAAGTTGCACACGAAATAGGTGAGGTTGAATCGTAAGTCTTATTGCCCATCTGTCTCGTTTAGTACAAATGTCCTCTAATTGCATTTCATCTGTGTTAACGTCTGTTATATTTTTAGCTCATGCACTGGGATTTTATCACGAGCAATCAAGACCTGATCGTGATGAATATGTCACCATTAACTGGAACAACATCGTTGAATGTAGGTGTGACTCCAAAGATAAATAGATTCCTGGTAGAGGAGTCCTTGTACTTCTGTAGTTTAGTTGCTTGCACTGACAAAGTAATGGTTTATCAAAATGATATGCTGCAGCTTGCTACGGTTCAAGACTGCGCTTGAAAGTCGAAATGACTTCGCTAAAAGGCATGTAGGAAGCTGATGCACCTGGAATTATATTCATACCAACATATACATCTCACACGATCAAGAAGAATAACTCAATTATTCATGGTCCGTTTAGGTTACGACTCTCCTTCGTAATTGTATATCCGCAGGACCGTGTTAACGTTTTAATTGTATACAGCTATTTCAATTTACGTTGTCGGATCAAAGCTTCAAGGGTACGGGACAAGACCGAAAGGCGGTATGGGTAGATTAGAATTAATTTTAGGCTTTCGGGGTTGTCGGCGCGAGATGGACATGGACATCGGAGATCTTCGCTGTATGGACGAGGCATTGTTAATTTTGCTGATAATTATTCATTAAGATCCCATTTTCCCCTTCGGTCTTGTCTTGTAGGCTTGAGGCTTTGATCCGACAACGTAAATTGAAATAGCTGTATCCGCAGGACCGTTTAACGTATTCAAAGTCGTGTGTTTGTCTTTGTCTTTTTTTCTGTATCATATATTCCTCAATTTAATTAACTTGCAGCCGAAAAGGTTAACTTTGCTAAGTATGGGCCATCGAGAATAAATTCACTTGGCGTCCCCTATGACTACAGAAGTTTGATGCATTTCAGTGATAAAGCCTTCAGTAAAAATGGCGAGCCCACGATAGTACCTAAGCAAGCTGGGGTAAGTACATAACATTTCTGGCGTTCCTCAGAAACAGCTTTTTTTTAGCATGCAAAAAAAAGTGAAAAAGAAAAAAATACCAACTAAAAACGTAAAAACGCTAGGCATTGTCACTAAAATATATATATAATCGAAACTATTTCAATAGCTCTGACGAAGGGCTAACGCTCGAAACGTCAGCTTTTTTACCCTTTACGCTGGCTAATTTACGTTTTCAACCCAGTTGTTAACACTAAATTACCTATTATACTCTCCCACCGACGCAGCACCACAGTTTCTTTAGAAACTTACCCCTTTATTATTATGTACGCCTTCAATTTTTATTTTCCAAGATACAAATAGGTCAACGGAAAAGTCCAAGTGCCTTGGATATCAAGCAAATGAATTTACTGTATAAATGCAATGGTGGAGGCGGAGGCGGAGGCGGAGGAGGAGGAGGAGGCGGAGGCGGAGGCGGAGGCGGAGGCGGAGGCGGAGGCGGAGGAGGAGGAGGTGGTGGAGGTAAACTTTAAACTCGTTTTGCCTCATATCTTTCATATCATTATCATGCCAGAGACAAAAGGGATTAACCTAAAAGATTTTTCGAGGGCATCTTACAGAGTATGGAGGCGCCTTTCCATGCAGAGTCAGTGATTTTGGGTCTCAGAAGTCTTGGGGTGCCGCTCAGCAGGTCTCTGAAGAGTCCAATTACACGGGATGACTTCTCACATACCTTTTTCGTTGCAGAGATCTGCAGGGATCAAAATTATAATTGTGGAAATTGGGCAAGAAGGGGTGAGTGCTACAGAAATCCAAGATACATGCACGTGTATTGCAAGAAGAGCTGTCGGGTGTGTAATGCGCAAGGTAAATTTGCAGAGTTATTTGTTATTAAAACAATTAGTCGCCTCAGCCTTAGTGAATGTTGTTGAATAATTGTTAATCAGCGCTGGAGTTTTTCCCGGATTTACTAATATGAGCCAACTGGAAGTATGGCAACTACTCTATGGGCGGGGATAGCAGTCCAACTCGCTTCAAAGATCCTGTTTCTACCTACGAGGAGGCACCCATTTGCAGCAGGTGCGGTGTGCATTAATCAAAGACTAATGATGGTTGCCTCTCGATTAAAATTTAGCAGCAGGACAAATGAATTCTGTCAAGGGTAGGGAGGTGAAGAAAGTAATTTGGGACTAATAACTTCTAAGTGGGATAAAGGTCCATAGAAAATGATTAAGGCTAGAAATGATTGTGTTTCTTGCCATCTCGGCGTGTTTTAATCTTATATCATTTTTAATGATAATACTGCCGCAGTCTTAATGATTTAAGTCGCAGAGAGTAATGGCCAAGATATATTACTGTCACTGACTTTAAACGTGTTACTGTGTCAAAAACTCGCCCCGATATATTGAATTAGTCTTGTAAGTCATTTTTTGCCGAAAAGTTTGTAAAATTGTTGTTAGAAACAAGGGGAGAAATAAAGTTTGTAGGAACCACGGAGTGTAATTGTCATGCGTTTTTATATGGAAAGAAACGGTTTTATTTGTTAAATTTGAAAGCCCCTATATAAAAGTACAAATAGTTTTAAAAATCTTTCAAAGATTCTTAGCCAACGTTTGCGCTGTTCTCTTCCCACGCACAAAGTAAAATAT